GAAGTGTCCTGGCTGACCTTCGGTTCCCAAAAAAGGAGCCGGGTGGGTAGCGTCGAACCCCCCCCCCGTTTGCAAAACAAGCGGCGGCGATAGGAGAGCGGGGAGGGGGATTAGCTTCCGATCCCCCCCCCTTGAAAGGCGAACCGGGGCGAACCTTCGGCTGTGGAAAAAAAGGAGGGGAGCGTACCTTCCAATCCCCCCCCCCCTTGCAAGAAAATCCCCAAGTGTTAAAAGCGGGAGAGGGGAGTAGCTTCCGACCCCGCCCCCTTTGAAAAGGAAGCCCGTGCTGACCTTCGGTTGAGGAAAACGGAACAAGGGGGGATGTTTCGACCTTCCCCCCTTGGCAAGGCAATCCCACCTTGCAACAAAATACTCACGCGCGCGCGTCGTCGCGCGCGCATACGTAAATTTTTCAAACATATGAAAACGCGTGCGTATTTCGAGACCCAACTTCCCGAACACATATGGAAAGAATGTCGCCGCATCTTGTTGGATTCCCAACATACGCGCGCGTTCGTGCGAACATTTGCCAAACAAAACAGTGCTCCCGGTTCCTCACATCTGACCATACGGGCATCTTGCGTGCGCATGTCGAAATCATTCGAATGCATTTGCACGCTTGCTGTGGGGGCCACGATCGTTTTCAACTAACACAATGAGGGCCAGTTGCGCCCGTCGGCCGCGCGCGCATGTCGAATTCTTTCCCAACTTTTCACCACCGACGTGTGGACACCACCATCGCCCTCGGCGTGATCGGCATCGGCACCGTCATTGGCCTTGCCATCGTCATCGCCATCCTATTCACCTTCATCGCTACGCTACGATCATCACCGTTGCCGCCGTTGTCGACGTCATTATGATACCGCGCCCACCCGAGTCACCGACTCGCACTGAGGTGCCCGCGCGTGAGCGCGGCCTGCGAGCGCAGGGACGTTCCCAGCGGCCAGCGCCACGGCAGCCGCGTCCGTCGCGCCTAACCAGCTGGCCACCCTTCGCGCGAGCCCGCGAACGCTGGCGCACCCGCTGCGATGCGACAGCCAGCACCAAGCAGTCATCGCAATCGCGGCCGCATAGGTCTTGCAAACCAAGTTGCGGGAGAGGGGGTGGGACGATTGCGCGATCACTGGAGCTGACAACTCCAAGGCCTTCAAAATTAATTGAACCATATAGACTCTCTTGTCTAACAAGCGCATAAACTCTACACCCCCTGGTTCATCGTCCCCTTTGAACACTGGAAATGATATAAGACCCTGTCACATCCTTCATGTTGCACACATGCGCACACCATCCCAGGGGATATATCATCGACTCGCCCCCCATCCTTGCCATCGATTGCGAAGTTTGCACAGTCGTTTACCAACAAATTCCTGTGTTTCAAAAGCCAGGTGCAAAAAGTTCGACAATGTCCACACGCGCACATCGTCGCTCGCGCATGCCGACACCCGGCCAGCACCTTTGGTTGCCTGGGGATTTCAAGACCGAGGTTCTCACGAAAAAATAAGCCGCAATGGTTGCCATATCTGTCGGTTCAAAACATCTGCGCGCGCGATTGTGCGTTCTTTCGAACACAACGGGTTTCCAACATTGTCCTCAAACGAGACCACGCCGGCCTCCCGCGTGCGCATGTCGGAATCATTCAACGCCCTTGCGCGTTCGCTGGGGGGGCACAGTCCCTGTCAAATCATACCACGCGGGCCACGCGCGCGCGTCAGCCGCGCTCGCGTGTGGACGTCTTTGGAAAACCTGCGACACATGGACATCATGCGACACATGGACATGATCACCGTGGTCGGCGCGACCAGCATCGGCGCCGTCATTGCCCTTGCCGTCGTCATCGTAACCATGCTGATCACCATCGCTACTACCATCATCATTGCCGCCATTGTCGACATCATGATACCGCGCCCGCCCGAACCACCAACCCGCATTGATGCGCCCGCGCGCCCAGTGCGGGCTTTGACGCGCGCCAAAACGTCACCATGGGCAAGCGCCATCGTGGTCACACCAGCTGCGACAAACCAGCTGGCCGCTCTGCGCGCGAGCTTGCGCGCGCCAGCGCGGCCGCAGAGACGCGCCAGCCATGGCCAGGCAGTTTTCGCAATCGCCGCCATATGGTTTTTACACGCCACGTTGCGGGTGGGAGCTTGGAGCGACTGCTTGACTTGTGGAATTGACAGCTCCGAATTCATCAAAAATCATTGCACCACATAGATTGCCCACAAAGGTTGCACCACATAGATTCTCCTTTTCCCCAAACAAATAAACGGTACCCGCACCCCCCCTGGGATTATCGCCCCCCCGTTTCGTAATGCAATGTACATACAATGTTGCCCCATCGTCCATCCGAAATATGAACTCATGTCATCTCAGCCCAACCGATGGCGGCCACCCCCGGCCACCCCCTGAAAAATACTATGTGCGCACAGTCGTTGATCACGAACCACAAGTGTTCAAGAAACCTCTGCAAACAATGAAGGGACATGCACACGCGTGTGTCATCGAGATCCCGAAATCATGAAAAAAACTGCGGTTTGTAACGAATTCAACAAGTGCCCAACATCAATCATACACATATATATATAGACTGCTTCTTACATATATATTGACAAAAAAGTTCGCAACACGGACTGTCATTAAAAGCTTGTGCGCGCGCCCTTGCGAATTCTTAAGACCACCTTCGGTCTTCAAGATTTACAAAACAACTGCTACCGAACGAGCTTCGCGCGAGTATCGCATGCGCGCACGACCTTGCGCGCGTGCCGTCGCGAGAACATGTTTTGAAAAAATGGGACGAAGCGCGCGCGTGTCGTCGCGCGCGCATGCCGAAATCCGTCAAAACCTCTTGCTTTCGTAAAGAATTCAATACCCAATGTCCAAACAACAAACAACAGCACATGTTTTCACAACATCCGTGTGTTATACATGTACAGATAAAAGGAAATTGCTATATATATAAACATACCGTCAAAAAACACACAACAACAACAACAACAACAACACGAACAACAACAACAACAACAACAACAACAACAACAATCATTTTACCCGAACGTTCAGTGTTCTCACCAGTGCCAGGGTTTTCATACGACGCCCGCCAATACCCCCACTTTGTGGGGGGGCCGGTTCAAGCTCTACCACATTTCCAAACGACTCTTCGCCACCACCCACACCCAGCTTCCCGCCCTATGACGTTCGGACACTTCACTTCGTGGCATGCGGACGACCGTGGCTACTACACTGGCGCATGGTTTCAATGACTTCTTGTGGTAACATCTTGTGGAAACTAGCTTAGTATACGACGACGACGATTTGAAGGGCCTACGGTGCGAAAAATGATTTTATGTTGCGCGGTGCTAAAATTCCTACGAAACCCAATGGTTTTTGAAGATTTCGGCGTGCGCACGGAAAGAAAAAACGAATGTGTCCCGCATGGTATTATTTGACAGGGATGATGGCCCTGGCAGGTGCGCAACCGTTGTTGGAGAAGTTCGAAGCACGTGAAGAAGTTGATCGCAAAAGCCCGTTTGACAGAAATGTTTAAAAAAGTTGGGTTTCCTGCAAATCCGCAAGAGCGCGCGGGATGAAATTGTGACACTTTTTTTAAAAAAAAAAAAAAAACCATTGGTTTTTTGATGTTTTTATGTTGAAATCGCTACGAACACTAAGGTTTTGGAAGGATTTCGTCTTGCGCGCGCGAATGTCCACTTTACCTTATTTTTTGCAAGGGATTCTTGAAGTTTGGTTATTTTAGAACAAGAAATTTCATTTTATAGTGTTTTTTGCAAGGGACAGCGGGGGGGAACAAAACAACCGGATCTTGATGACATCGTATTACCTGAGGCTTCCTCACGAAAATGATGAAAATGTAGCTGCGGCCTAGGCGCGGCGAGGGGGTCGCGCACCAGGGGTCCCAACAATAATTATTCTTTAGAATAAATAATGTTCAACAACAACAACATCAACAACAACAACAACAAACATACACAAACAAACGTGCTCGCGCTCTTGCGAATTCTTGAGACAACCATCCGTTTTCAGCATGTTCATTGAAATCTGCCCAACGTGCCTCTCGCGCCGCATGCCAACATCATCCGCGCGCGTTTGCCCGCGTGCTGGAGAGGCACGATCCGTGCCAAAAACCATATGCGGACCACTCTCGCGCGTCGGCCGCGCGCACATGTCGAACTCGTTGCAAACCCTTCATCACCGACGCGAGGACGCCTTCGTCGTCGTCGGCGTGATCAGCATCGGTGACCGCACTGGCCGCGCCTTCGTCGTTGCCGACATCGTCACCAGCATCGCTACGATCAGCATCGTGTCTACCGTCGTAGACGTTGCCATGATACCGGGCCCGCCCAACTCGCCGACTCGCACTGAAGTGCCCGCTGGGATGTGCCCAGCGGTCAGCGACACCGCGGCCGCGTCGGTCGCGCCAAACTAGCTGGCCGCTGCGCGCGCGCGTGCTTGGGTTGGCGCGGCCGCAGAAATGCACCAGCCAACGCCAAGCATGCATCGCAATCGCCACCGCATGGGTTTTGCCAACCAAGTTGCGGGTGGGCGTGTGGGACGTTTGCAAGAGCATGGAACGTGTCATCTCGTTTATAGAATTAAATTGCACCACGCAGATGCGCCACGTAGTTGGCACCACAAAGTACGCTAGAAGATATAGTTTGAGTCCACACTGGAAAAACATATATATATATATATACATACATATGCAAGTCTACAGAACGAACATATCAAAACATGTATACATACAGATACAACCATGCATGTGTAGATGTGTGTGCGGAGAGAGAGAGAGAGAGAAAAAAAACAAAAAAACAAAAAAAAAAAAAAAAAAAAAAAAAAGAGAGAGAGGGAGAGAGACAAAGACGCATGACGGGGAGGGGAGGGAGGTTATAATGCCTGGCGCCCCGCTGTCTGACCTGTATTTTCTCTTGTCTGCTTCCCCTCCCTCGCTCCCCCTTCCTTTCTCCCCTCCATTCATTCCATTCACTGCCTTATTTGGGTGGTACTGGACCTCTACAAAGCAGTTCAACTTGATACGCTACGCTACCCACTGGAAGTAAAAACAACAACAGGAAACAACAACTATCTGCGACAGCCGCAGCAGCACCTACTGATCAGGTAAGTATAATAGAATGGAGACAGCATCAGTGAGGAGGGGATGGAAGAGTAAGAGAGGAAAGAAGAGGAAGCGAGGTTGAAACAAGGAGGAAGAGCCAGGAAGAGCGGACGACGAGAGAAAGAGGACTTGGTGGCCTCTGTGTTTACGCTCTGGATTCGGGTGTAAGAAAGCTCCGAAGCACTCTGCAGCAAGCTCTGTCTACATGCTGCGCGGGAATGATCGACTTGCGAATTCTGCTACTCTGGAATTGATGTCATTACGATGCGCTGTATGCTGCAACCTCTCACTCGATCTTACGACTCCGCAGAGCAATGCGCCGGAATGCCTGTAGGATAGTTTCTTCACGTTCCTTGATTTCTGGGAAGTGTGTTCTGAACAACGAATTGTCAAATGTGTGTTCTCGCGAAGAAACCTGCAATAGGTAGTCCACCGCATGCAGAAAGGAAAAGATATCCCAGAATGGTAAGACACTCACGCACACATGGTACAGTCGAATGAGCAACGCTAGCACAGAAAACGGCAGCCACGCGCCAGCAACGCCGTGGGCCATTCTATAGTCAACCACGTAGCTTCCATACGGGAGTGGCTTTACGGAGGGCCGGGTGTAGTAGTATATATTAGCGCGATTTCTGTCACTATCGGCGTCTTCCACCTCAAGAAGCAACGAGATGGCATGCGCCACGTTCAAAGCGGAATTGCAATCCAAACCGTGTGGATTGAAACAACCGACGTATTTTTGCCAAGCCATGGCGCCACATTGGATGCACTCGGGTCCGTTGCTAAAAATGGCGCTCAAGCGAAGATGGGTGTGACGTAGGCCTGCGCCGTCGCAAGCCTCCGCAATCACCTCCTCCGATCGGCGCTTGAATCGGTCGTAGTCCCCGTGGTAAGTGTCAAGCGACGAGAACAGCACGTCCTCGCGAACGAGGTGCTGGGCTTGGAGATGGTCTGCGACCGCTACCGAGGATATGTGGAGGATATACTGGACCCCAGCTCTGGCGGCCTCTGAGACCAACTTGTCGAAATGCACGCCAAGTCTCTCGTGGCCCATTGACAGCAGTGACAAGCGAACTCCGATGACAACGCTGTGGATATTTGTCAGCTTCATAACGGCCAGCCTCGAGAAAAGAGTGGCCACACTCGAATATGAGCTCAAATCGCACTCGGCGAAAGGGTAAACAGCAGCAGGGTGTTCCGGGGGAAGCTGGTCCGGCCCAGCGACGATGAAGGCGTGACGCGGAGGCTTCAACTCTTCGAAGTATGTCCTAGCGAGGCTGGATGAACCACCGATCCAGAGGCACGCCATGAGAAGGTCAAAACAGCAAAATCAGAACTAAGCGGGTACAAACTCGAGCCAAACCGGCCACGGACAACGAGGACAGTTGAGTGAATGTAGACATGTCTCTGTGCGTATGTTCAATCAGCGCGGGGATGGGTTGAGGTTGGTGCGTGGAGGAGGGCCAGTGCGCAGGTGGATGACGGGTGGGGGTTGGTGAGGGGAGACTGGTGGAGGTACACGGGTGGAGCGTGGTAGGGTAAGGTTGGTTGGTTCAGGCTGGTGGTAGACGTTGGAACGTGGAGGGTCGTGGATCGAAGTTGATGATTGAACGGCGACTGGTTGGTGGCAGTTGATGGTCGGAGGCTGGTGGGTGGAGGGTGGAGACTAGTGAGTGGAGGTTGGTAGGTGGATGTAGGTGTGTGTGGACCGAGCCAGGCAATCCCTCCAAAACCCGAACGTCCAGCCTGATAATTGTCCGTGTGCTGCGGGCACTCCCCGAGTTTCCCCTCGAATCTTCGACGAGGCAATCTGCACCTGTCCGAGGCACCGCGGCACACCGGACACCTTGCTCGGCAGACGCCTGACACACCCAGAAGACTTTCCCGACAGGCCGGCACCCCTCTCCTCGCGATCCCTGGATGCTCCGCTTCGCCCTCTCCCGCCGCGTGCAGCGCGAACCCCACGCCTTCCTGCGGCCCTCTCCCTGCGCGGCTCGGACGTCGGCGACCTACTGGAGGCGCTTCGTGGGCTGCTCGCCCTGCCTCGCGTCGGATCGGCTCCGACGTCAGGGACAAGCTGCAGACACGGGGCGGCTGCTCCCCCTGCAGCTAGCTCTGCCCTCCGAGGGGCCACGGTGAACGCACTCGCTTGGATCTGGCACGTGATCTGCTACATTTGCCACCACGACGGGGAAGGACGGGAGCGCAGTCGCCAACAATGGGGCCCCGCTCTTGGCCGCCTACAACGTCATGGTCCAGCTCCTGCATCTTCAAGTCACCGTCACACCCGTACACGACGCGTGTTTCCTCTGCGCCATGATTCGGCAACGGCTCGGATCCGACATCGACCTCGGGGGCCCAGAAACCACTCCTAGGAGTGTTCTTTACGGCGGCGGCCTCACACGCACCAAGCCGCCGGTCGACGCTGCCCCCACCCCCCGAGGGCACCCCGGTTGGCAAAGCCTGGGCTGCAGGCTTGGATTTCTGACCCCGTCAAGGTCACCTGCTACTGCGACGACTGCAAGCGAGGCCAGCTCGGACCAGCCTGGACTGTTTCCCGGAACGTTCTGTGCGCAGGCCCGCGCTTTGCCCTCTGCCAGGGAGGGGGGCGAGGAGGAGTAGGAGGAGGAGGAGGAGAAGGAGGAGGAGGAGGAGGAGGTTGGAGCGTCTGGGGGGCCGCGTGTCATCCCCACCTACCGCCCCTGGGGGCGGGGCCACCTGCGGCGCTGACCACCGAGGGGCATTTCAACAGCTTGAAGTGCCGCACGAGCGAGCGAACGAGCATCATCGTCACTAAACGGGAGAGCACGGGCTTTGCTCTCCTGGTGAGCCAGCCGATAGAGCTGAAAATAAAAAGCAGTGAATTTGAACGTCTCGGGGGTGGGGTGGATCAGGCCCAGAGCCAGGAGGGGGTCCAAAAACGGGGGCGCGGGGAGGTCAGCTCTTAATTGTCTACGGGCAAGCAGGTACAGTGGGTCGCAGCAACAAAAGTAATGCTTCAGCGAGTCGCGAGCCCCAGGACAGCCCCATACGCAACGCCTATACGAGTTGCGCATCCTGGACTCGGGGAGGAGGAGGAGGAGGAGGAGGAGGAGGAGGAGGAGGAGGAGGGGGAGGGAGGAGGAGGAGGATGCGCAGGAGGGGCCCTCCCCCCTGGACCGACGGACGTCGCCCCCCCCATTCCACTGGCCAGAATACCGACTGGATGTGCGCCGTGGCGCCATCACGGAAGGCGAGGACACGCTGGAGGGGCCCCCCCCCTGGACGGGCGGCCGTCGGCCCCTCAGGGGCCCGGTCTCCGCTGCTGCACCTCTGGAGGGCCTGCTCCTCTGGCTCGAGGCGGTGTGCCGTGACTGACCTCGGCCCCTCTGCAGGGCCACAGCCTGCCCACCACAGGACTCGACCCACGAGCAGCGACTCGCCTTCCTCCGCAGGGACGACAAAAGAGGGCCTCCTGCCGCTGCGACGGCTGCGCCGACAAGAGAGCCTGGACCAAGGACAGGCTGCTGGCGGGCGCGCCTCTGTGCGCCGACCCACCTGAGCCCAGCCCTCGGGCAACCCGACGGCTCCCTCTGCACCGGACCAGGCGGCGAAGGTAGCTCGCCAAGCTGTGGAACCGGCACTGCCGTCACTGCTTACCCACCACCTGGCGCGCAACCCCCAGCATCGTCGAGGCCATCCTTGCAGGGCACGCTTGGGAGCTTTCCCCGACCGCAGCAAGGGTCTCGAACGACCCGACGTCGACTCCGACGAGGAGTGCCAGGAGGTCCCCGAGGCACTCGTAGCCCTCCACGACGTGCTCCAGGCTCCGGTCTCCACACCAAGGGGGTCCCCCCACTGGTGGAGTCCAAAACCCGGATAGCAGGGCCTCCGGGCGTGGAAAGGCCTAGCGAAGAACTCTAGAAGGACCTGGAGGGAGCTTCCGAAGGACCTTCTGGAGAGCTCATGGGCACGCGTGTTGGGAAACGCTTCCCTAAAAGCTCAAGCAAGCTGCAGCGGCGCTGGAAAACGGAAGCCGGAACGAGCGAGCTGCAGCGGCGCTGGAAAACGGAGGCCGGAACGACCTCCGGGGCTACCCCGCGGCTCTGGCTCCTCCATCTGACACCCTCTTGGCTCTCCAGGGAGCCATCCGGGAAGCTGTGGCCCCTGCTCCGAGGGCGGGCGGCGGCAGGCACGTGGCCGGGCAGGGCGCACCCAGGCCCTCGCATGCCCCGGCGGCCGGCAGCGACGCGTCCGCCCTCCGCGCGACCCAGAGCGACTGGCCCAGGGCCCGCTCCTCGGTGCGCCTGTAGCAGCTCTAGGTCGGGCGTGTCCCCCTACAGGCAGCTTCGGGGCGAAAAAACTAAAACAGCAAAAAAAAAAAAACACAACGAGAGTCCAGACATAGAGTCGAAAAATCGTCCCCGGGCTATTTTTTTTTGCTATGTTTGAGTTTTCCTCCTGGGGAGGGACGTGCCCGACTTTATACAAGCTGAACGCGCCAAATGAGGGTGGCGGAACGTGGTGGGCGGTGACACACGGTCGACAGCACGGTGGTCGAGGTTCGCGACTGGACGCTCCAGGTCTGCATCCACGGCTGCGATGACCCCCAGGTGCGCCGGGAGGCACACAAGGCATGACCCATCTGCCAAGGGATCACATCCACGGCACCACGGCATGCTGCTCGCTTCCGTCATGGTGGGCAGCACCAAGCTTCAAGGCGGTCACCAGGTACACCGCCCTCCTGATGCGGACGACTCCCTCGGCCCCGCGCACAGACCGACCTCGGGAGCTGCCCTGACACTCCCCGACCACGCAGGGCTAATCCAACTTGTTGGCTCTTGCTGCCCATTCGCACTTGTGGGCGCACACGCGCACTGCTGCTTCTCCAAACCTGGACGGACAAGAACGTGAAGCGCCGCCTTTGCCCACGGCACCTGTACGAAGAAGAATAAGAAGAAGAAGAAGAAGAATATCAAGAAGAAGAATAACTAGAAACTAGAACAAGAAAAGTAATATGAATCATACGAAGGAAAGGAAAAGATAAGGATGATGAGAACGACCACGAGGCGGCTGCTGACGGCCATGACGGCGTGGAGGACAAGAACGAAGACGAGGGGGGGCAGAAGAGAGGACGAGGAAGTTCCAGGGGCCAGAACCAATGGAAAAAAAACTGCTCTTACAGAGCAGGGGCCTCCTCCTCCTCCTCCTCCTCCTCCTCCTCCTCCTCCTCCTCCGGCGTCTTCGAGCAAGGGCTCAGTTGGATGAGGGCTGCGCGAGCGGACCGGCAGGAATCGCTTGGAACCTCTAGCAGGCCTTATTGGGGCTCGTTGAAAGAAGGATTGCAAAAAACCGTTTTTTTGCAATCCTTCGTCCAAGGGTTTTTTTTGCAATCCTTCGTTCAAGGGTTTTTTGGCAATCCTTCGGACTATTGTCCCGTCGTCGTCGTCGTCGTTGTCGTCCGTCGTCGTTGTTCGTTCGTCCTTCGTCGTCGTCGTCTCACGTGGGCCGCCGTTGCCCGGGGGAACCCCAAGACGGCCCGGGAGAACCCCAAGGTAACCTCAAGACGGGCGATATTACGTCAATGCCCCCCCCCTGAAAGGACACAAGCCGCATAGGGGGCGTTTTGGAGCCTCTTGGGGCCTCTTTTTGTCCTCTTGGAGGCCGTTTTGGGGCCTCTCTTGGGCCTCCACGCCAGAGGCGCTTCCCGTCATCCGCCACCGTGCCTTCGGCACGTAGTGGAGTGCCACAAGCAAGGCTCATGCAGCTCTGCCTGGTATAAAGGGCTTGTGGTCCCAAAGGGGTAGGACCCAGACCCCCCAGGTTCCCAGGCGCTCCCTGGCGCTTCCCCGCCTTCCTGGGGTGTGTCGCCGGAGCATTTGGAGCGCCAAAAGAGCCCCAAGACTGTCCAAGAGGACCCGAAGGGGCCCCAAAGACGGCGGAAAGAGGGTCCCGAGTCGTCGAGCGATCGGTCCAAAACGCCCAAGATGGCCGCCAGACGGCCGAAGATGCCCCCAAGACGCCCCAAGAGGCCTCCAAGAGGCCTCGCAAGAGGGCTTCCAGAGGCAAAAATCAGTGATGTTCCCAGGGTGTTTGAGCGAGTTAGGCGTTCTCGCCATTTCGGCTTCCCGACGCTCCAGAAGGCCCGAGAAGCATTCAAGACCGCCTCAAGACGGCCCAAGAGGCCTCCCAGAGGGTCTCAGAACGACCCGAAAAGGCTTCAAGACGGCCCAAGCGCCCCCGAGACGGCTCCAAGAGGGGGCCCAGACGGAAACCCGAACGGACATTTCGAGCACTCGACCCCGAGAAACCTCCAGGCACTACCCAGGAGGCTCCAAGAGGCCCCCAAGAGGCACCCAAGAGGTCCCAAGAAGCCCCCAAGA